TAAATTAGTTTTATTATATGAAAATGTTAAGATTTTTCTTCCGGTGTTAGATCCCTTGAGAGCATATGGCTTCCAAAATCTCTATTATAGACCATTCGTTTTACTTCTGCCCATGTATTGTTGGCAGTGTTGAATTCTTTCTTTATTGTTCTTTGCCATAAATTCTTGGGTCGCCCAACGTTTCTTTTTCCTCGCGCGTTCCACTCTAATACCAGCCACGAAATTCTTTTGGGTGTTCGGGTCGCAGTATATGATTGTTTTAATTTTTTTTTGTCTCCTATTACTCTTACTAACTAATAGTTCTTGGTCTTTTAAAGCTCAAACGTCTGTGTTACTTATTCGTGTGGGCCAGAATAATCGGCAGATGATTATCAGACTTCTATTTATGAATACCTGTATATTCTGTTTGTGCATTCATTTTTCGGTAGCAACATTTCGCAGTCATACAACAAGAATGATTCCACCCGTGTGAATATTCTTAATTTCGTATTTCTCGATAAGTGTAAAGATTTCCAGATGGCTTATAATCTGTCAAATACCGCCCAAGTTAGTTTCTACCCATTTTTTATTCGTTCCCCTCCGACTGTAGATATTATACTATTGGGATAATTAAATTGTTCGACATTTTGTATTAATCTGGCATTTATGAGGAAGTTTTTAAGGGTTTTGCTGTGTTTAATTGGAGTGATTTTATCTTTCTTGTGTTAATTTTCAGGCCCACTATAGGAATAATATTTCACAAACAGAATTCAAAATATTGTGGCTGGCAAAGTTTATACTTGATTAAAAAGTTACAAAAAAAAGTTCGGTAGTGAAAGGGTTAATATTTGCATAAGTTAATTTTAAAACAATTCTTGGAATTATCTCTTTGTGTACAGAATTTTGACTCAATCAAAAATTTTCCACGATTTTCATAATTATTTGAATAATATTTGTTTAATTAAGTTTACCATAATTTCGTTTGCTTCGTTTGAAAGAAATCATGAGTTTTTGAATATTATAGAGTACATTTTTAAAATGAAAAATTAATTAATCAAAGCATTTCCGTGACTTTTATGCAATAAGAATGAAAAAAGATTTCCTACAGGAAAATCTGATTTAAATACATGCTGTTCTATACAGAATAAAAATTTAATAAATTTTCCCTAGAATGCCACAAAAAAAAAACAAAAATATTTTGATTTTGTTTATTCATAATTGAATTTCGAATTTATAATTGAAGATTATTGTTCATTAATAATAGTCTATATGAAAATATTCAATTTGCATTTTAAAAAAGGAAATTTTGCATGGCATGTCCGCGAAAATGATATTTTTATTATGAGATAAAAGAAAAAATTTGTTTTGAATTTGATTTTAGAGAACTTGTGTGCATTTTTCAAATTACTCGTAAATATTTTGAAGCGAAAATATTTAGATTTCGTTTTATTAATGCTGTTGTATTCTCGGAAAAAAAGTAGGTTTCAGAATTTTATAAGACCCTCCTAAGAATTGATATGCAGCTACTATTTCAAATTTTACGAAATACTAAAAGCTACTATTCATTTTATTTAATTAGTACAAGCATGTAGATTTCTTCTCATTTATTCTAAATAGAATTTTAAAATTCTAAAATTGAGTCACTTAAACTCATGCTAAATAAAAATTGCTGGCCATTACTCTTTAATACCAATTTTTTCTTTTTGCATTCCTGCATTCGAAAATAAGCAAGAGACTTAAATTTCATTCAAATAATTTTTATATATATATAATGCATATTTTATTTAAAAAAAATATTTACAAAGGATTCATATAACTTTTATGGCGAAAAAAATTTTAATAAAAATAAGATGAAAAAAAAAATTAAACTTTTAAAATTTTTCAAACTTTTTATTTCTTTTTTTCTTTTTTTAAATAAATTTAATTTTAAGAGAAAAATTTTTGTGCAGTAAAAATTTTTTCAAGATTATGTCAATCAAAAAATTTTATTAAACCAAGAGTCTCGACGCCTCATTGTAATCTTACAAAAGATACCATTTTTCTGTATTGCAATGCGATTATTTGTTAATCCAATTCTTCAAGGCCTTAATCCAACTGTCTAGGTTTTTTTAATTCAAATTTTATTGCAAAAATTTTTATCAGTAATAATTCAGAGAACGAATATTGTTAATAGGAATTTTTTACCCTAAATTTCTTGATATGAGTGAAGTTTGTTAAATTATTTCAGTGTAAGGAATATATCCTTTCAAATAAAGCCACATTGATGCTGTGGCTCGGATATTGAAATCAAAATATTTTGAAATTAAGATCCAACCGCAGAGACAACAATTATCATACGAGAAACAAGAGACGCAACAAAAATTGCTTTTAATTAAGAATTCGAATTGTTGAAGAATTCGTGAACCTTTACTGAACGTATAAATTTTGTACGAACATAGTTCCACCATGTTTAAGAATGAAATATTCATAGAAAGCCTTACAATTTCCACAAATTTAAATCATTCCCTTCTAACCAATTGTCTCCCTGAATAAACAATATTATTTTCTATCCTGGTACAATTTGAATTTCTTAATATTTCCTGTTTAGTATTGTGCGAGAGCGTAAGTCTTTTGAATGAGAATGAAAACTACTTGGTTATTTTTTTTTTTTTTACTCAAAAAAACTCATTTTTTTGTTGAATTTTTAAGTGATTTTAAGTGAAATTTATTTACACTTAAAAAACAAAAACAAAAATAAAATTGTTTTTTTGTTTTCTTTCTGTTATTGTTCTTCAAAAGCCAAGACTATTTGTAAAAATTATTCAAATTCTTTTAAAAAAAAAGTTAAAAAATAAAAAAATTTCAAAATAATTTTTTTTTTTTTATTGTTGTTAATTTTAACCTTCTCTTTTTATACTGAAACTTAATTTTTCACTTAAAATAAATGAAAAATTTCAATAATTTTTATTTTAATTGAAAAATTTTTTAAAATATTGGTAAGTATTATAATTCAGCGCATTTCCTGAATTTTATGTTCTCCGCCTATAAATATGCAATCCGGCTACACGATTGTAGATTAATTTTGAGAGAGAGTAATGTCAAAACAAATTTTTTTGAGAGCATTTTTAAGCATTTAGAGATTATGATATTTTACAAACTATTTGCTTGAGTCGAGTTCATTGCTTTTGATTTTTCAACTTGCAGGCTTTTAAATAATTCGAATAGTGAAACGCAATTGTAGTGATATGAAATTTGTATATTCTAATTCCTGTTTTAAATTCATTAAAATGTTAAGTTGATTAATTTGAATAAAATTATGCTGCCTCACATGCACACACAGTCATACAAGAGATATAGGAGTAGATTGTGTTAAATCTAAAAATGATTTTTGTTATTTTTTTAATTTTTCAATTTTTTATTGAATAAATTTTCCAAGTATATTGACAGTAAATTCATGGATAAAATTACGGCAAAAAATTTCAAAATAAAATAAAAGTTTTCAATTTTCTCCATTTTCTTTTTTCTATTTTTGTTTTTGTTCGAATGAAAACTTTTAAATTTTCCCATAATATAGCCTAGCATTTCAGAAATTTCTTGTTGAATAGCTATTATTATTTGTTGATTTTAAAATGAAAAAAACTCTTAAAATAAAATAACAATTTTGAATTTATAAAAGTTTTCAAAATTTTTTTTTTGTCTTTTTGTCTTTTGTATAACAAAGTAAGTAAATAGCATTTTCAGAATAGTTATAAAGAATTTTTTTTATATAAAAGCTTCTTTCATCATCATTTCAATATAAAAATTAATTCATTAAAATAAATTTATTTAAATTCGGGAATTGAAATGCTTAAGAATTATTTACGAAATTTCAATAATTTTTAAGATTTTTATTATTGAAATATGAAATTAGAAACGACAGAGCAGAAAAATATAGAAAATTGCTAACTGAATCAGCTCTAATATAAATATAGAGCTAATAGAAAACGCTTTGAACAGTACCTTTCTGTTAAATAATAAATATAATAATAAGAAACATAAAATCTGAAGCCGTTTTCACAAAATACTAGGGTTCATTTTACTCGCAAAGCAAAAATTTTTAATATATGGGATACTAAAGAACTGCTGTTTTCATCTTTGTTTTTCAATCAACAAACCATAGGAATTTTAAGTATTAATGATCTAGTGAGATTTTGTCTTGAATTTCAAGTAATGGTCGTACAGCAGAACAATAAAACATCAATACTGCAGAACAATAAAATTTTGTAATACTAAATTGTAATAGAAAAAAACATTTTCTTTTAAACATTTTCCAAAAAAAAAAACACTATTTCACATATAGTAATTTCAAAATTCACGGGGGATAATTATGTAATATGAAAATAATTATTTAAATAAAAATTCTAAAAGTTGTCAACTTTAAACGTAAAAAATTAAAAGAAAAATTACTGTTATATTGAGTGGTTAATAAACATTTCTTGGCTAAAAAAAATATTTCCTCACCTTGCTATATTTGTATTGTATTATATCTATAGATTGGGCTCAAGAGTCTTAAGACCAGAGCCAATTTTTTTTTTATAAAAAACCTAATTTTTAAATGTTTATTTTTCAAAAAATAAAAGTCTTTTATAAAAGTGTAAATTAAATAAAACAAGAAATTGAAGTACTTAGAAAATTTTAAATGAGAATGAGAAAATAAAATCAGTGGCGTGCCTTAAAAAATACTGCGAAATTAATTTTACTAAGTTGGAGACCGTTGTTGTGCAACTCAAAATTTATTTCTTGTACAGTTTTTCTAATAACAACCATTGTACCCTTAAATTATATTGATCACCTCAATGAATTTCCCAGAAAACCATATTATATAAAATTGGTTTTAATATCTCAAAAGATTTTATATTAATTATTTTTTGAATAAATTTTAATTTCTAAGAATATCATTATTTTTCAAAGAGAAAATTCTCAATAAATTTATACTTAAAACTGTTATAATAATTAAAAAATATAATAATACATAAAAAAAAAATTTTATAATAAACACTTACATAACCAATTCATTTTCTCCGTATAATCAATTTTTCTTTTTAAATCTCCAACAACTGTTCTTAAATCATCATTATTAAACTGGCACTGTATAATAGTATTTTGTAATTGTATTAAATTAAATTCACTTCCTTTACTACCACTACTACCACTGCTATCTTTACGAACATCATTATTTTTATTACAATTATTATTTAAATTATTTAAATTACTATTATTACCACTATTATTTTGATGATGATGATTACTATTATTATTATTATTATTGTTATTATTATTATTACTGTTACTATAATTATTATTATTTTGATTTTTATAATCACTATTATTATCATCACCGTTACCGTTACCACCGCTACTACAAACTATTGTTGTAGTAGTTGTTGTTGTTGTAGTTCTTTCATTATTTGAATTTCTTCTTTCAATTAAACATACACTACTATTACTATTTATATTACTAATGCTACCACCAATATTTATACCACTGATATTTGTACAACTACCATTATCACAGTCACCACAGCTATCATGGCTACTACTACCACCAACACCATCAACACCACCACCACTACCACTGCCACTACAATGACTGATAATATCACTTGTACTTTTAAATATTGTTGTTGATTTTTTATCATTAATATTTAATAAATTATCAATTGATGATTTATCTTCATCTTTAAAATGTACATTACCACTGGATCGGCTTAATAATATTGTTGATGAACCTTTTGTTGTTGATGTTGTTAAAAAATTATTATCATTTTTTAAAAAAGCATTTGATGTTGCCGATTTAAATGATGATTGTGATGATGTATTTTCAGTATTAATACTACTTGAATTACTACCGCATATATCTGATGATAATGTACCAACACTATATTTACGTGAATTACTTAATAATTCCGTTTTAAAATCATTAATATTACTATTTGTTCGATTTTCAACAATACTACTACTACTACGACGATTTGTATTTGTTAATGAATTTGATATAGCAGATTGTTGTTTTATAATACCAATTGTTCGATTTGATACTGTTGTAGTTGAAGATGATGTTGTTGATCCATTTCCTGTTGTTTGTTGCTGTATATTATTTGTTGTATTTAATGATTCTTGTTGAGCATTATTTGATGAACAATTTAATGAACCACTTGATCTACTACATTGTTTATTTGTTTGATTTTGTGATGATGATGATGATGATTGTGATGCTGATGATGATATTAATTTATTATTACTATTATTTATAATGGCAGATGTTGAATTATTACTGGCTGATGTTGTATATGATGTTGATGTTTGTAATGATGTTGATGATATAGGAGGTGGTGCAGCTGGAATACCAAATAATTTAGAGCCTGCATAATATTTTGTACTTGTTACAGCTGCCACTGTTGTTGATGCTATTGATAGTGATGCTGATGAGGGTGTATTATCACCGGTTGTTGTTGTTGCTATTGAATTATTTGATACAATGCTATTATTTTGACTAGTTGTTGATTGTTTACGATTATTATTATAATTAATATTATTTAAATTTTTTTGATCGTCTAATGATAAAAGTTTTTCAATACTACCACAACTCATTATATAAATTTTTTTTGGAAATCTTCTATCAATTTCTTTTTGATAATCAATATGCTCTTGTATTTTAATTCTTTCCTCTTGACATTTATAAAATTTTATTAATAAATCTTCTAATAATTCAATACGTTGCCTTTTTGAATATTCATCAGAATTTGTTTGATTGATTATCTTATTTGTTTGGGTTCCAGTTTTATTATCTAATATTTTTGCCTCCGTTAAAATTGTTGTTGTTGTTGTTGTACCTGGTATTAAATTAGTAGATTGCTGTTGAGTATTGTCAAGTTGTTGTTGTTGTTGTTGTGTTAATTCTGCTTGTTTAATTAAATTACTAATTGGTCCGAGGCTTTCTATTTCTAGTGAATTTTTTTCAATTTTATTTTCTGTATTTTCATCAAGACAATGTTGTTGTAATGCTGTTGTTGTTGATATTGGTATATTTGATAAATTTTGATCAGATATTTCTGATTTCGTTATACTTTCAATAATTTTATCATTTTCATTATTTGTTATTGTTGTATAATAATTTGATAATTGATTTTGTTGCTTATTATTATAATTATTTTGAAAATTAATGGCAGCCTTTTCAAGCTCTTTATGATATTCATACGGTCCCAGTATATTATTAAAATATGAATATTTTTTTTCTAAATAACGTAATTGTGATGCAATATAACCTATATCGGTAATTAAATTAATATCCTCAGATTGAAATGAAAATACTGGATGTGATGATCTTCGACAATTTTGATTTAAATTAAAACTAATATTTTCTGATGATGAGCTTAATAAATTTATTGAATTATTTGAATCAATTATTGATGATGATGTATTCTTATTTAATAATTTATTTGCTGTTGTTGCAGTTAATTCTGCTGTTGTTGATGTTGTTATAGATGTTGTTAACGTTGTTACAGACGCTATTGTATTTGTATTTTTTGTTGTCTGTTGTTGAAATGATGATGATGATGCACTTGTGCCAGGTATAGGAGAAGCTGCAAAAAAAAAAAATAAAATTAATTAAAAAATGTGAAAGAAAATTATATTTTGAAAATTGCTTTAAAGGTTTTAAATTTTATTATTCGACAAGAAATCAAAATGCTGTAAAGAAACTAAATATGCTATTTTTCTTAATTTCAATTCTGTTCACATTGTGGAATTGTGGCCGATGGTTAAAATTTTCAAGATGGTTATTGATTTTTTATATATTTTTTCATATTTAGTAGCCATAATATTCGAAAATCGCATGTGAATAAAATTTTTAGCACAATTTTAAATGGAAATGTTCGGAATACTCTTGTTTTAATAAATTCAAACTAATATTTAATTTGTGTATGAGAGCAGGTGAGATTAATATCTTTTTTAATTTCTTATAAGAAAATTTAAAGAAAATTAGATATTTTTCCATAAATTATGAAAATATTTTAAAAAATATTATTAAAGTTTTCTTAAATTTTTAGATATTTCCTCAACATCTTGTTGAATTTATTGTCATCATTATCCTTTTGTTTTTTCTTCAATGAAATTCTCAAAATTTAATAAACAAAAAGAATTATTAAAAAATTTTTGAAATTTCTTTTAAAAACTAATATGCATCTGCAATATACAGAGAGAGTTTGTTTCTTGTTTTCTTAGTATTTAAAATAGTGGTTAATAAAGGATGATGTTATACTAAAATTTTAAAAAAAAAATTTTCAAAAAAATTTAAAAAACAATTTTCTTAAAATTTTTCAGAATATTTTTCTCTTATTCTCTTATGAATATTAAATTTTCTGAAATTATTGGATCAATATTTTCGTAAAATAATATTATTATGCAAAAACAAAATACAAAGCATAGTTCTCGTCTAAAAGAGTATGTAAACATAGAAGCAGCTCGGCTGCTAGCTAATGGCGTTATGACAGAAAGATTTAAACGAACAAGATCTTTCAATTCAACACAAAATACCAATTTCCTTATGAAAGATATTTAATTTTTGAACGGAAAGACCAAGTTAGCGCAAAGGTAATAGTTGGTCTGTAGAACCAGTTTTATCAGTTCAGAGTTTAGGTGACTTTTTAAGGTAGGAGCTCCAATGTCGGAGCAAAAAGGCTGGTATAACACCGTCCTTCTTCGTCTTTCTGGATTTTTTCTCCTAGGCTTTAATATCGCCGCTTTAATTCAAAAAATTTATAGCTTTCCGCCTCTACCATTCATTTTTTTAAACACAAAATGTACTCGTTGCATAATTAAGTTGATTTCTAAATTGAAGTTAAACCAAAAACTCTTATATGTATGTAGAAGATCTTAATTTAAACTTCCATATAAAAATCATTGATTTTATAATAAAAATTTTCAATTTTCTACTCCATTAATTTTTTGATTTTGGAAAAATTCTGAAATTATTAAGTTGAAAATGTTGATATGTCTGTAATTAAGAAAATTCAATGAATCTTTAAGAGTAGTAAATTAAAAAATTTGATAATATCAAAATCACATTAAAAAATTTATTCTTTTCTTTTTTATACTGTTATACACATTATTATAACATTATAATAAAAATTCAATTTTCTTCCAGTTTCATTCGTTTCTTCATGTTAAGCAAAAAATTTCTTAATCATAATTTTCTGAATAAATTGTTCAACAAAAAAAATATTCCAATAAATTTTCTCTAATTTCAAAATCATAAATTTTATTAAATTTTTAAGGAAAAAAAAAAAGGAAATATTCCAAGAAAAGTTTTCAATAATTTTTTTTAAGATTTTAATTTTAACATGACTTTATAGATTAGGAAAAAAAAATTATATTAAAATTTTAATCAAAACTCCTTTTTTTCTTAATTCTAAATATTTATAGTGAAATATTTTGAATGCAATTTGGGAATGCTACTCTATTTTAGCATCTAAGCAAAGAATAATAACAAGAAAAATTATAAAATGTTGCAATTTTATATACTTGGATCTTGAAAATTTGGCACTGCAATTTCCACAAATCCACTGCAGCTAGTGGAAAAAATGTTTCCATTCTGGAGATTATTAAAATTTTTATTCTTCTTGACAAAAATTTTGAAAATTTCAAAAGTACACCGAGCATTTATTAATTACGTAAGCAATTCGATTCGAAATGAAATTAATTTATTGCAGATTTTGTTCACTACAGATCTGACGAGACGATTGCATTCAGTTTAAATCAGTTAATAATTTTTTCTTCCTTTATATTTGGTTTTAAGCATTCAAGTTTATTAAGTTGTGTAGGTCAGGAATTCATTTAAGGAAAAAATATTTAGGATTGAGTGCCCCGTTTGTAAATATTTGAAAATATATTTAAGAATTAATATTCTTGGTGATAGTGAGATCACAAGTTTTTCGAAAATTGTTTTTAATTAATTGATATTTTGAAATAGGTCTGGCTACATTTCGAGTTCGAATATTATTGTCTCCCCTTGCAAAAATTATAAAAATTTTGTTAAAACATAAAATTTTTTTTCGGATTTTTTCATATTTGGACATCGGGGCTCTCTCACTACTAAACAAAAATTTATGATTTTTGGCAAGAATATTCTCTAGTGGAATATAATTATGTAGGTAGTAAAGTCGCTAGATTTTTCAAAATAAGTATTAGATTTTAATTTGTTTCTAAACTATAATAACCCATTTTTAAATTCTGATACATATTTTGAACCACTTTCCAAAGCTCATGGGTAGAGTATGATTAAAACTTAAGAAAATCAGAAAATAAAGGAAAAATTTTTTATTACGATATGTGATTAAAGAAAGCATAATAGTATTGTGAACATGTGTTATATGGTGTGTATACAAGGACAATAATATTAAAATGAAAATAGGAAATATACAAAATAATAATTGGTAACAGGAAGTTTTCTTCCTTATGTTCATTTGTTTTTGGGTTTTTGTTTTTATTGAGAATGGGAATAAGAAAGCAACGAAATTAAGTTTTTCTAATTTTCCATTTTATTTATTTGTATATTTTTTATTTGTTTTTGCTGGTTTGTTATTTTTCCATTCTATTTAATTAAACTTTATTATCTTGATAGTATACGTGCAATTGTATAAAAAAAATTTATTTTATTGTTTTTTTTTTAAAAAGATCTGATAAATTTTATATGAAAAACTTTTTAATAGTAAATTTTTATTTTTATTACTATATTGTGTCTGTTGAGCAGAGGCGGTTCAATTATATATGCAAAGTAATAATTTGCATTGAGTGGCGGAAAACAGGGGCACAATTGTCGAATTAGAAAAAAAAGCAAAATTTTAAAAAATAAAAATTCTTTTCCAATTTTTTCGATTATGTATTTGCTAAATAACTTTTCCCGTTATTATTTAGAGTTGAATTATATAGTTGAATTAACTTGGTAACATGTTTCTGTATAGAAACATTGTTGAGAGTTCAATTCGAGACTTTAATTATATGACTAATCTCGCATTCAGCATGATGAAGTTATAAGAAAGTAATTAACTTTACATAATTGTTAGGAAAGTGAGGCGAGAGAGCATCCTCTTTGAAAAGCAACTGCGAAAAAGTCAGAACCGTCCCTGCTCTTGAGTGTATACATGTGTACATGAGAGATAGAAGATATAGCGAAGAGGATAGAGAGTTAAGAGATTTCTTTTTATCCTTAGTTTGTTTTTTGTTTCTGTTTCATATTAAAGTTTTAAAATAGCTTTTTTCTTTTTCATTGTTTTTTAAGTTTTAAAAGTCTTTCAAGTGTATAGAAACTGAAAAAGAAACAAAAGATATTTTAAACTTTTTTTTGTTCTCTTCTCTATCTCTCTCTCTCTCTTTCTGCTTCTCTCTGACTATGCCTCTTCTGCTTCTCTCATTCCTTAGATGTCTTTTAAAGATAATTCCCAAAAAGGATTAGAAATAGTTTTAAGGATGAAATAATGCATAGTGAAAAAAAGAAAAACAAAAATAAATAATCCTTAAAAAAATAAGAAAAATTTCTCATTTAAATGTTTTTGTTTTTTTTTCAGAGATCTACATAGATTTTTAGTACCGTAATGGAAATTAAAATTAAAATAATCTCTTAAGATTTTTTTATTTTCTGAAAATACAAATCCTTTTTTAAAAAAAAAATCCACATAAGAACCGTATCGATGTGAAATTAACTTGAATGTTTCTTAAAATTATTCCAAGCAATTCAAAAATAATAATTGTTTAAATTATCTTGAATTGTTTTTAATATTAAATTATAATTGAATAATCTAAATTGATAGAAAAATATATTATAGTTTTCAAATAAAATAGTAAAATATTGGATTATATTTAAAAGTGTGCTAGAAATATTCAATACGTAATTGCTCTCAGTATATTCAATAGGGGTCGAAGTTTTTATTATATAGAATTAATATTGGAATACAAATATTACGATTAATTCTGTTATTTCGCAGATTAAGACTCTAAACAATAAGCAATCTCGAATTTAATAATGGATTTTAGATGAAATCGTAATAGTTTCCCAGTAGTACTTAAATATTTCTCATGCAAACAAGGTCCCTATATTGTCCCGAAGGTGTATTTAGATTTTCTTATCTTAATAACAAAATCTTCAATTGCCATCACTTCCTAAATCTAGCTTTTTGAGATGCTCTGCATTGTCCTATAAAGACACCGTTGAGAATTCTCGTCGCATCCACGTCGAGCTTTGTAATGTTCGGAAAGCGCTTTGGGTCTTTATCTTCTATAAGTTCATTGCCATGTCGACGGCCTGGAAAATTTTCTAAGGCTTTGAGCGTCTCTTATCTGTTTCCTTTTTTAATTCTCCAAAGACAGTGGGAGGTTTGACTTCATTGAAAGACTCTGGGCCGAGAGCAGGTGAGGCAGAGCTCTTTCTTGTAAATTTGTTAGTCACCCCCTTATCTTTGACGTTTTGTTGTGCCTATTCCCATTGTTGAGTTTTTTTAAAAAAGCCCACAAACACCTCAGGGAATACTATAAAAATGTATATTATGAGTATGATCAAAATCACTAGCCCTCGTCTGAATTAATTGCT